CACTCAAATATTTTAAGTACAAAAGTAAACAACAGGACAAAGAAACTTTCCTAAATAACAAGAGAAATTTAAAAAAACAAAGAAAATATACAGAGAAATACCATAATTATACACATAATAAAACATGACAGAATTAATACAAAACATATCAGTCATATCAATATATGTAAATGAGTTTTACTAACCTACTAAGAGAAAAAGATTTTCAAATTGACTCACAAGGCAAGGCCCAATCTATGCTGTATGCAGGAGTCACACCTAACTAAAGAGATTCAAAAAGGCTAAAATAGATAGATGGCCAAAATTATATCAGACAAGAGGATAAAAGTAGGGATTGCAAGCTTCATATCAAGCAAAGTAAAATTTGAGCTAAAAAAATATTAAAAGTGACAAGACATTTTCAAGGGCTGAAAAGCACAACTTGTAATGGGGATATAATTGTTATGAATATCTACGCACCAAATAACATAGCAGCTATCTTTCTATAACACAAACTATAGGAAATGTGAGAAAAATAGAAACACTAATAATAGGAAACCTTAAGCACACCTCTCAGAACAAAACAGATCAAGTGGACAAAAATAAGTAACAATGCAGAGGATACAAACAATATTATCAATAAGATACATCTTTTGAACTTATATATAGAACATTATACCCTAATACCCTTTCTTCTCAAGTGCACATGGAACATTCATAACATCTGATCAATACTGGGTCACAAAGAAAGAATCAGTAAATTTCATGAAGTAGAAATATTATATGTAATACAATAAAATTAGAAATAAATAACAAAATAAAAACAAAAAAGGCCTTTCTACCTAGAAATAAAAAAATACTCCTCTATTAAAATATTCTGGGTGAAAGGGGAAGTTAATATCAAAATTACAGAATTTTTAATAAATAATAAATATTCATTATGAGAATCTATGGGATACAATTAAAGCAGTGATCAGAAGAAATTTATAGCCTTAAACACTTATATCAATCCAAATCAATATAAGTGAAAGAATAAAAATAGATGAATTAAATTCCCAACTCAAAAGCCTACAAAATGAACAAAAATGTAAACCAAAAGAAATCACAAGGCGACAATAGTAAAGGTGAAAGCAGTAACTAATGATGCAGAGAACTGAAAACATAGATGTAATGATTACATCTTTGAAAAAAATTAACAAATATGCAAAACCTCTCGCTAACCTAATCAAGAGAACAAGGGAGAAAATCCATGTTGAATCTGAGCCCCATGACTAGGGAGAATGGATGACATACTTACGCACACAGAAAGGGGTCTTGCCCGACCAGTGATGATCCTGCTGGCAGATGCGCACAGACATGCCGATCAGGCGGAAGCCGGCATGGCACTGGTACACCACGCTGCCCCGGTAGCTGTAGTTCTCTCCATTGATGTGTCCGTTGACGATGGGCTCGGGAGTCCCACAGTGTCCAGCTTTGGTTGGAAATGGGGGAAAAGAGAAAATCAAATGAAGTGAGATGGAGCATGGTGGGGAAGAGGACCAATTATCCAACCACCATCACTTTTCCAACCCCCCCCCTGAGAATAGCTATCCAGGAGTGACTTCAGGAATCCTAGACACTGTTGAGGACTTGGCAACCCCATATCCCAAGCTTGCATCTCAAGTGGCCATCCACTTCTGAGTTTTAGTTTCTTGGCCTGTACACAGGTGAAAAATGAACACTGTTCTCTCCCTGCTTCTGGGACCATCCCCCTCCTTTTCTCATCAACCAGAATTGACTGAGGGTCTATTGCATGGAGGACACCATGGTCAACATGAAGGCAGTGAAAGCCTAGTTATGTTGAAAACAACCATGCAAAAACAGATGGTTTTGTTAAATTCATTCTCCCTTCTTCTTGAGTGGCACTTAGGTGAGTTATTTTTATCAAATGAGGTTTGGGTAGAGTGTATTCCTGGCCTTTCCACCAGGTTCCTTTGGCTCTGTGTGGAAATACCCTGTGACTCTGTCCTTAACAGGGACCTTAGACATGGGAGGGCAGCACTGTTCACCCCAGGACAGACCATCCAATATATCCTGTTAGGTTTGAATAGCCGGGATCCTCTTTTGGACTTGAGTGGTCGAAGAAAGGGGTGAGGGGAGAGAGAGCCTTAGAATCTAAGGCTCAGGCAGGGAATGAATTAACTATGGGAGAAGCGATAACTTTGTAAGCCAGGTTGTTTTTATGCTTCTGTCATTTGCTTTAGTACATATATACATAAGGAAAATTTGCTAATATGTAATACAAAAGGTATTTTAGGTGTTTTACAGGAATGTGTCTCTGCAAGTTTCCCAAAGGTGGAGACTTGGGCTTCACTATCATACAAAGGCCAATAAGAAAGGATTGTCTTTCTGATAAGAATGAAAACCCCTCAAAGACTTGTCTCATGGGATTTGAACTTCTCATTTTTTGGGTGCCCCGAGAGAAGGTAGTTCAGGGTATTGATCATACTAGATGCCTAAGAGTTGGTGTTTGGGTTAAACATTTCATTATGAAGTTAAAAAGATACTGTTCAAAGACTGGATTCCAGCTTTGGAGAGATCTAACCTGTCCTGAGGGGGAAAAATGAGCAGGATAGGCCTGGGCGGTTGCTTACCAAGGCAGCGGACTTCAGAGCCACTCCAGAGCCCGTTGGCCATGCATTCCCGCACTCTGGAGCCCACCAGCGTGTATC